CAAGGGGATGGTGAATTGCATCCCCTTAGAGGGTGCTAGGGAAGTTTAAGGTATGGTTGAAAATAAGGTATCAGCCAGTAGTACATACATACAAAAATTCAAATTCTATGGTTTACTTATACTCGAAATAAAAGATAAAATGTAAATTTTTGGCTCAACTTTGACAGCTCATAGCTCGAAAACAAAAGAGTTGGGACCCTATGTTTATATAAAAAACTTGTGTTATTTTGGCAAGTACTACATCCTAGTAAAGCTTCCCGATTAAAAACTGATCCACCCTGTATATGGCCAAAAATCTGATTCCTGTGGAATTGGGTCGAAAATGTTTAATATTGTTGTAATACATTGTTAATGTTGAGTTAGGATCTAATACTGGTAAAAAAAATTTGTGTTAACCAAAATTTAGGTAATAGAAATATTTGAATAAATAATTGAAAATAAAAATTAATTGTTTAAAAGTAAAAATGTTAAGTTATGAAAATAACACCAAATAATATCGAGAATAGGCATCGCGTAAGGCTAAACCAGAATATATTCCTCAATGAATAAAATATTTCAACGGTAGGATGACTAATTGTAAGCTGATATAAAAAAGCGTCGCTATGAATAACTGAATTGAACTCTCGACGACCTCTTTTAACCAACAGCGGAACTTTACAAATTTTTTTTGCACTTTTGCGAACATCACGTGATTGAACCGCGACCTTAAAGCTACCACTCGGCAACGACGTTGCTCGAGCGACATTGCCATATCGTTGGTATATAGTTTTATGCAATATAATTAGGGTATTCCCATAAGGTATATAATTGTATTGATTTTAAGTACGATGTGTTTCATACTATTTTGTTAAAATTTTGAAAATTTAGTGTTATTTCGGTAGACTATCTTCCATATCGGTAAGGTTGGCAACGCTAATGGAAATAATTCTTTTTTACGCCATCTTGTGGATAATAGTTGATGTAGAATATACACATAGATAGTGTAAGATATTGAATTTATTGTTTTTATGGTCAATAAATATATTCACGATAATTGTATTATTTTTATGATTACTGATTACATCACTGAGACGTAAACTGCAAAGTATACGAATATATTCTATTCTTGTTGGAGTGAACGCGAGCTTGGTCACATAGTGAAAATGACACGAATAGGTACGTGTTCAATATCTATTCGATTAAATCACGTTGCATAAAAAAAAAATAAGTTAAATGTGAAAAATAACGGGGGGGAGTCGAAAGTTTTTCGAGTGAACACATTCAACTTGCTACTCGATGAACAACAAACATCAACCATGTACAAGTTCAAGTCCATGATTTTTCTAAACATGTCAGTACTTTTGTTGGTGTTCACGCAATGTTTGGGATACTTTGGAGTACGAGAAGATTCCGACGATTGTTTTTGCCAGGTAATAAACATAAAACTAAAAAAAAACATTAAACAATATATACACATATAGTTACAAGGAAGTATTGATGATTGCACCTGCAATGTGGACACCGTTGATTATTTTAACAACGTAAAAATCTACCCAAGATTAAGAAGTCTACTCACAAAGGACTACTTTCGATTCTACAAAGTTAATCTAAAAAAGAACTGCCCCTTTTGGATTGATGATAGTAGATGTGCAATTAGATATTGCCATGTGGAAACCTGTGATGAAGATTTAATTCCACCTGGATTGAAAGGGGAGGCTAAAAAAGAGCCATCCGAACAAAAAGAGAAGGATAAGGTGAGATAAATTTATAATTTAATTAAAAAAAAAGTTTTTATCCAAAATAATAAAGATTATGAACCAAACAAAGAATTAACATTTTATGCACTTCTTTTGTTTGAAATAAATGAGTCAGAAAATAACTCAAAAATTGTTAGTACTGATAAAAAAACATTTTTAATAATTACACTATTAATAACAACTCTTAATCGTTTACACAAATATTGACCCACTATTTTTGAGTAAGATGTTTTCTGCCTTAATCTGTTTTGTATGTTATTTAAATTTGTCTTGACGAATTTTCTTCGAAATTTTGTACATAGATAAGAATTACAAATTTGTTCGCGTTATAACAAATTTGTTATTTCGCGCCAATCGCGAAATAAAAATCAATAAAAGGTGTATGAGCGAGATGTCACTAGAATCTTATGCGCTAGAAGAAGAGATCCAATAAGACTAGGAACGATGCACGTTTGTGTCTTCTTGATCTTACGCGAAAACTTCGTAAACGTCACCAAAGCTTTAATAGAGGAGATTTTGAATTTTATTCAAATTCAATTTTTTTGTCTACAAAGGTAGTACAATTCATTACAAAAGAAAAGAACATAGACCAATACAAAACACAGCACAATGCAAAATATCTAGACTACAATTTTTCGCAAGTTAGAAATTAATAAACTTTTGCCTAATTTTAAGATTTTATACAATTCGGTAACTTGTTATCAAATTAAATAAAACAGGTGATTAAATAAATTATTATTATTATTAAATTTCGTGCCGTGATAATCAACACCTTGTCGTGTTATTTTAAGGCGATGAGATGGTACTTCAAAAAGTAATCCAACACAGTTATGCAGATGATTGTTTTTCGGATGTTTTGTTTTATTTTTATGCACAAAATTCACACATACAAATACGGAATTGTTAAAATATCTTTTGAAAGACGGCTTACAACTTTCCATCTGTCAAAACACGCGAAATAAGACGTTTTGGCGACTTCTAGCGTAGCACAATGTGTCAATCTGCTTATATTTTAATGCCCCGATTTAATGAGATATCGAACATCAGGCCCAGAAGCTTTACAGTATTCTTATCTTGTTTGAGAAAGAAGTCTAGTGTTTGAGTCTTTGCAGAGACATTATTACTATTCTCAATATCCTCAGCAGCTCGAACTACAAAGGAGGTACATACATTATTGTATTGATCTCTGGGGATTTCCATTCTGTCATCTCAGAGAGATCCGAGTTCCACCTGACACACCGATATCGTCCTGATAAATACGATTCTAGCAATCTATTTGTTTTTCCCTTGATGCCATAATAATCAAGTTTAGACAACAGGATGGCATAATCTACCGTATCAAAAGCCCAACTAAGATTATTCTGACCCTATCATGATCATCGTGTGCTTCCGTGATGTGACTAATAAATTCGATAATGTTGCTGTTCATTCTTAGAATGTTATATTTCTCTAGATAGTCTAAGAGACGGCGTTTGATAATTTGTTCAAATACCTTAGAGAAGGCTGGCAAGAGTGCAATCGGGCGATAATTGCCGTAATTCCTTTTGTCACCTTTCTTATAGATCGGAGTTATTTTGGCAATTTTGAGTTTTTCTGGAAACACTCCATCGTCCACACATTTATTGAAAATTATTTGATCATAATAGCGGTAAAGTCATATATGTCTTGACTATGCCTTCGTTTCATATTTTTAATAATACTTAATAATTAATAATAACTTAATAATACATAATACTTTTTCCTTGGTGCCTTTTTCTGTGCTTATTATCTCCCACATTTTCTTATTTTTGATGGCAGCTCTTTGTATAGCTTCTTTTTTTTCATTATTCACCAGTAGTAGATATTCCCGCTTACAGGTATTATAAATTTTGTAAGATTAAGCATCTCTCTTACTCGCAGCCATCATACCCAGCGAATTCAACAAAGAAGAACCGATTGCGATAATCTGCACCTGCTTCTCCCGTTTATTTTAACCCTTTTATTATGTACTGGGAAAAATGTGTTATATTTGAAAAAAAAAACATTCATGGAATAGATTATAACCCCGCTAACTCTTCGCACTCTGGTCTTTATGCTTTTGTATTGCTCAGGAGGACTGCCCCTATCACCCATAATTCATTCATGAATTTTAATATTAATTATTGCAAAAATTAGATAATTTTAGGATCTGAAAATGTTACCAATCCTTTTATTTTTACATAGTTTATCGATTTTTTGATTTCATAACTACATATATAAATAAAATATATAACTAATAAATTTATATAATTTATAGTACTTACAAAAAAGCTGTGATCAAGATTACAATGAAGAATTATCATACTTGAACACCACAATAAGTGCAAAAATTCAAAAAGAATTCGAATTGTGGCGAAAATATGATGATGCCCAAGACAATTTTTGCGATATAAATGAAAACGATAACGATGCTGAATATGTTGATTTGTTATTGAATCCTGAACGTTATACAGGTTATAGAGGATTTTCAGCACATCGAATATGGAATAGTATTTACATGGAAAATTGTTTCCGACCGAAATCGTCGTTAAATGCATATATTCAAAGCGAAAAACTTAGTGGGATGTGTTTAGAAAAGCGAGTGTTTTATCGAACCATATCTGGTCTTCATTCGAGTATAAATATACATTTAAGCGCTAAATATTTATTATCGGATCAATCGGAGCTTGGTCTTGAAGAAAAAGGGAAATGGGGACATAATTTGGATGAATTTAAGCGTCGATTTTCGCCGGAAACAACAAACGGAGAAGGTCCAAATTGGTTACGTAATTTATATTTTGTTTATTTACTTGAATTAAGAGCTTTAGAGAAAGCTTCTCACTATCTTGAAAGGGAAGAGTTTTATACGGGTAATGAAAGTGAAGATTGGGATACCAAATTGGCTGTGACTGATTTATTAAACATCGTTAAGAAATTCCCGGACCATTTTAACGAAAATGTTATGTTTAACGGTGGCGAACAGTCGCAAAAATTGAAAAATGAGTTTCGGCAACATTTTAGGAACGTTTCAAACATCATGGATTGCGTTGGGTGTGATAAATGTAAGCTGTGGGGAAAGTTACAGGTAAATATTTTTTTAATTAACTTAATTTGTTTATGAAGTGTTTGGGAATCCCTTTCAAATTATATTAAGCAATTTATTTTGATGAGATTGTCGCTATCTTATCATTTATCCATTTTCAATCATAAGTTACGAAATATATTAATCCCATTGTTTTCACTTTATTAAATATTATTTCAATTATGTTAAAATATTTTTTTAAACGTGATAACAAAATAACGTTTAAAAAATATTTTTAGGTTCAAGGATTAGGAACAGCGTTGAAAATATTATTCTCAGGAATGTTTGATCGTCAAACCAGCAGTAACTTATACATCGAAAGCGACTACAAAAAAGATTTCCAATTGAAACGCACGGAAATTGTTTCTTTATTAAACAGCATTGGGAGGTGACTAAATTAAATTAGATTATTTAAAAAAAATCGTTTTATTATGAAATTTTTTAGATTATCAACCAGTATATATGAATTGGACGAATTTCGTCACATTTTGAGATGACAAGAAAATTGTAATTGATTTTGGGAACATCACATCACCAAGGGGTGAACATATTTTTAATTTAATAAACATATATATATCTAAATTTATTTATAAACATTTAGAGAAGTGGTAGATAATTGTGCAAGGTGTAAATGTAGTTTGTAAATGAAACACTTTATTTTTGATTTTTTTGTTAACTTTATTAAAAAATAAAAATGAATTATTAATGAAACTTCTTTTAACTTAATAAAAAAAATAAAACGAATTAATAATTAATGGGATAACTGACATACGTGAAAGAACCAATGTGAAAGTAATAACAAATAATCAGCGGGATTTATCGGTAAATTATCGCGAGAATATCCAAGGTAAACATTCTCAACAAGCACCTTTTCATTGCCTCTTATCCCATGATAACGCGTCGTTACTTTGGGCGATTTTCGTTTTTCCATAGATTTTTTCGAAGGAATAAGTGATTTAAAACAATTCGCTTCGTAAAACACTCGATCGTCGTCGATATCGCAATCAAGAAAATCACCATATCTCGGTGAAATTTCGCATTCCTCAAATTGTTGATAAATTGAAACTTTGGCGTATCTTTGAACTTCACCAATTGACAAATAAGGCAGTGCTTCTCCCGCATAAAATTTTCTAAAAACAAAATTATCAATCGTTTTGTATTGCTGTTGATCAGCGTTCTTTTTTCTTGTGTATTCTTGAAAATATAACAATTCGGAGCAAAGTTCTCGTTTGACGTGGTAAAGCTCCGCAGGTGTAAGTCTTCGGAAATGAGTTGTTAAATAGATTTGTTTCGCTAAAAATGTTGTTAAAGTTTCTAAAGCAAAGTGTACGCGGTCTGGTTGTAAACCCGTCAACCATTTTGTTGAAAACGTATGTTCGGATGAAGCGAAGGGTTGTAACGTTGTATATTTATCGGAAATTGATCTTCCAAAATAATCCGGACACACAAAAGATAAATAATCCGATTTTGTTGGCGATGAAGTCAAATCGGATGCGTTAAGATCCGTCGTTGAATTCGATTGACTCTTACTGCCCTAAAACATTTATTCAAATTAAATTTATTTAACCACACAAAACTAACAACATACAGAAGACGTTTTACATAAAATATGAAGCAAACACAACAGCGACCCATATTTTAACACATTCACATTTTCATCATGAATCTTGGGAATATGAAAATGATACGCAACTTGCACATCGTCCGGAAATGGTATCTTGTATGGTTCTAATAAGTTCACAAACGTCGGGCAAGCTCTCGTTAAGCACAAACAACTGTAAGTAATCACTTCTAATAATCCATTCATTATTTGAATCACACTATTCGTTGGAAGATGATCCACAAATGATAATTGCGTCGATTTCTCAATCGCGAAAAACTTTAATACCGTTGGACGTAAAATAATCGCTGTTGATGCGTTGATTGATTCAATAATCGCTTGCTAAAATTAATTTTGAATTAGTTAAGAAAAAGATATATCTTTATAATTTACTCCGAAAATATTGTATACATTTATTTTCTATATTATTAATAACTAAGTATTTGGAGGAAATAAAGGTATTTGGAGGTCGCTTGCGGGCGAGGCCTTAGAATTTTCTAAAGTTGACGATTACGTGTGGATATATCAAAACCAGCGCCTCGCCCGCAAGCGACCTCGGCGATTTGAGGCAAAATCGTTTCCACATATTTTGGTGAAAATACAAAGTCTCTTGTAAAAAATATTTACCCTCAACCCGCCGAGGTCGCTTGCGGGCGAGGCGGTAGAATCGTCTAAAGTTGACCATTACGTGTGGATATATCAAATCTAGCGCCTCGCCCGCAAGCGACCTCGGCGATTTGAGACTAACTTATTTTAATGCGTTAATACTCAAATAATTTTATTGCATGTCCAAGATAGGTTAAAAGGGATAAATTTTTTAAATGTATACTATATTTTCGGAGTATTATAATTTACTTACCAAATAAGTAAAATAAATTTGTGGAAAAATAAGTCTCCATTGAACTTTATAATCCAATAAAGCATAGGTAAATCTTAAACATTCTCTAACTAATCTTATAGCTGTTATTTCGGAGGTAACTAAAGGCAATCTTAACGTATATTTGATGACGTCGCAATGAACCAAAGCGAAAGACATTAATTTGGTTAGCATTAATCGTCCAAATTTGTTTAATAACATTGTCATTAGTTGGATAATTCCGGTGTAAGTTAACCACCAATTTTCAAAGTGCCATGGTAAAGCGTTTTTGTATGATAACTCGGTTGAGTGAATATATCTTTCTGATGGACGCGTTGAATCAAAAAATGGCTCAAAATTGACGTACATAAAATGCTCAACTAACGGAGAGTTTGCGTAAGCAATGAGACATTGTACTGTAATTTTTCCAATTGGAAAGTATATCGAATTTTGTATAAACGGTGCGATTGAATGTAATATTTTCGTTAAAAATTGCGTTTCTTTAAACCATTCTAGACACACTTTTGTTTCACATTGCAATAAATAGGTGCCAAACGTTATTAATAACAACCAATTCGAATATGTTGATCCTTCTTCGTGTCTTTTAATTTTCTCGTGCTCTTTTTCAAAAACTTTCCCAACGGCTCGTAAAAATTGTTCGATAGTTAATGTTTCGGTTGATATATCATCTAAATGAGGCACTGTTTTTATGGAAATTGATAATATGACTTCGTTAAGATGGTTCGTTTTTTCGGTATAAATGTCTTCTAAGTATTTAAATAATTTAGTGAATGTTTCCAAGACTTTCGATGTAATTCCTTTTGATGAATTTGGATATTGCGTAATTAATGATAAATAAATTTCCGACCAAACTGAAAATACTCTTATGTCGTTGTTTTGGGAGAAATGCTCCATGATTCCGTCTAAACACGCTTCAACTAATAATTTTTGTTGTTTATTATCAGCGATTGTTTGGGAGTAATTTTTGCAGATTGCAATAAGTAAATGTTTCCAAGTACGTAAAAGTTCTAAATTTGTGATATCTTCTAATGATTTTATTATGAAATTACACCATGCTTTGAGGTGTTTTTCTTCAGTTGAAAATAATTTTTTAATAACCTCAATAATTTTTTCGTTGGATCCTTTGCTTCTAAATAATTCGTACGTTAATATGCTTATTATTTTGGTGTATGTTTTTATGGGTAATTTTAAGTCTTTAAATAAAGGATCCATGAGTGTTGACCAAAAGTTTTCATTCTTTGTTAAATCATCCACAATCATATTTTTTCTATACATCCATAAAGCATGAAATAAATCTAATACGGCTGCTTGTATTGGACTGTATAAATAATCGGTGGATTTTCTTATATTCTCGAGATATTCTTCCATAAAAGCATTCACGCTATCGCCGATATCAACACAATTAGTATGTGGTAATCCTGATATATCGAAAAATGCAACGATCATCCCGCTTTGATTTTGGACGCAAAGTGTTATTAAATCTAATATGGCCACTTTTAAACTTTCTTCTTCTAACGGATCTCTTAGTTTCTCTAAAAACGTGCATTGTAGTTGATATTTATCCATTTCTAACAATGATAACATTGGAATATCTGAGTTAATAGCTAACTTCTTCAATATTTGGCACGATAATTTTGGTATTGCTAAATCAAACGATTGTTGCATGTATCCGGTTAATAATTTTAACGAACTCGGTTTAACCGTACTATCAAGAAACATTTCCAAAAAAATTGTTCCTTTTAAATTCCGTTCACCTCGATTGTGTAGTAATAATATTATATTAATAATGGCCAAAACTTTTTTGAGGCATTGTACCAAGCTAATCGATGACCGTCTTTCCCAATCACCTTTAGTCATTATATAAGCATTTAAAAATGAATTCGTCATTCGGAATAATTTATTAATTAACTCAATCGTTGGTGAATGATCGGTTATTAAACAGAAACAAAAGTCGTATATCGTTTTATCATCACCATTAAGATCTTGATAATTATTTTGTAATACACTCAATATAACCCCAAGACATTCATTTGATAATTGTTGTTTATGCAGGTTTGTTTCATACAACCAATTTAAATGTATTGGGAATATATGAACAAATAAAAACACCATTCCTGGTATTAATACTTTGTGCACACACTTTTTCAATTCAATTAATTTTTTTAAAAAATTTATGTACGAAAATAATACGTTGACTTTTCCCAATCCAATTTCTTCTCGAATTGTGTGTAATAACATGCACGTGTTTAAAAATGAGTTTTCGAAAAACTTTTCGATTACGGTTAAATCTTTCATAGCGTGCGGTAAAAAGTTGTTTATTACCAAAAAGTCAGTTATTTTTTCTGGTTCGTGATTTAAAAGTAACGTGCAGATGTCTAAGCACGTTACGATTAAATCTATATTAATAATTGGTCGGGTTGATGTTCTCAAAAGAACTGGTTGTAAATAATTTAATCCACCATAGAATTTAATACCCAAATCTTTTTGTAAAATAGGAATAAGGCATTTATATCCCAATTCAACACAATGCATATTTTCTTTCGCCATATCAGTATCAGACACTACTAAAGACGCCATATATTCTAATACATCAATGTATTTATAAGCGTAATCAAATATAATGTATACATTTGTGTTAATTTTTCTGATTACAGCTCTTGTTCCGGTTGGTATAGTGAGGGATTTAACTCCTCTTGGTTGATAGTCTTGTCTTAAAACGATTTGCCCATCATATGGGGTTTCATTATAAATTTCAGCAAATGTTTTTACGTCGTTTAACATTTCATAAACGAAGTCATATAATTCTTTATGTTTTAATAGTTGTGTCGAGACTTTTGTGAATGGTACAAACGTGTGTGGCATCATTTGATAAGTTGATACATAGAATTTTTTATAAACGCTATCAGAGGTCATCATTGATATTGCAAAGTCGCGATTTTCAGCTAACTTACTTATTAAGTCATCCATACCATCAGCAATTAATACAGTTGAGCAATCATCGAAATTATAACTTGTGTATTCGACGAAATAAAATATTGTTTGTTTCATTATTTCACCGATAAAAGTATTGTTCCAATCGCTAAGTGATATTAGCTCGTTTAAATAATAATAAACCTTTTGTTCCAAAGCAAACATAATAAATCTTGTATACAAATTTGAATTTTTGTTAATAAATTCTTTATTTCCCGTCGCTAATTGTAGCGAAATATAAAGTGTTAATAAAATCGAAAGTTCTTTAGTATTCGACATTTGGAATATATTATTTCCTATTGCCTCTGTGTGTCTTTGGAACCCCGCCGAATCCTCCCAAAAAGTTTTTGCCGCCAACAACATAGCAGCAAGTTGTATCATTCTAATATGTTTTAACTCTTCCGGTTCGCAAACTGTTAAAATACCATCATTACTTGGCATATAAGCAAAGGCATGTTTCTTACAAACATCGATAAGTAAAATAAATTCATCTATGTTACACGGTTTATAACTCATCGTAATCATAATACAATGTAAAGTTTCGATTTGTTCTCGATGATTTCTAGTCACCCAATCTTTAAAATCAAGACAACATTGTTCGTTGTCGCGTTTTATTTCATTGGTAAGCAGTTGGTATTGGTCAAAAAGCGAATCCCGGATTTTAACGATATCCATTTCGTTCAAAAAGTTCGCATAAAGCTTATAAAATCCATGTTTTTGATTGTTACTATTTTCTAAAATATGTTTCATCGTCTTTATCATATACATTCTTTCCGATGAATAAAACAACCACAATTGTTTAAACAAATTTAAGTTATAAAGTTCATATTCAGCTATTTTTTGTATATCTTCCACTTTTCCGTAATATTCAAAAATTAAAAAGTTACAAAATACTTTCCAACCTATATCGCATTGCAAATTCTATATTTAATTAAAAAAATAATTATTAGGCGTTTATTTTATTAATCTAAATGATGGGTAAAATATCAAGTATCGAAGTATTATTATGTTGACATCTATTTCAGTGTATTTCAACAAATTTAATAATTACCAAGCCAAACTCGTATAATAATCAATTAAGCGCTAAATTAAGGGAATTACCTAATTGGCGAGAAATTGTAAAAATTGTAGTAAGAAGCCATTCAGCACGATATAATAAAGCGCTTCAGTATCCACAATCGGGTGAAAAACAAGCCTAAGAGCGCTCATAATATAATTGTTATGTTGTTAATAGCCAAAGGTGGCTATAATTGCTGAGAATGAGCTAGGGAAAAAAGCTAGTGCGTTAACCGTCAGAAAATAATAATGCTAATTTACATGGGAGAAAGGTGAGAAGAAAACCGTTAATCAGTAAAAAGAATCAAAACGTCAAATTAATATTTGCGAAAGAGCACGAAAATAAAGGTTTTTCTTTGTGGAAAACTGTTCTGTTTACTGATGGGAGTAAATATAACATTTTTGGGTCAGATGGAAAAAATGAGGAGCTGCATTTAAAAAATTTAAGACCAACTGTGAAACATGGTGGCGGATCTGTGGTAGTGTGAAGGTCATTTTCAGGTGCTGGACCAGGATGTTTGCATTTCATCGAGGGAATAATGACTGGCGATTCTATCAGTACATTCTTGGCTCTTATATAATTCTTGGCTTAATATAAATTAAATAAAAACAATACTTTGTCTGGTCTTTTTTACTTTACTGTCTGACCGGTTTCGGCTTACGCCATCATCCGAGACATTAATAATACAACATCAGTGCCCGTCAATGCGAATTTATAGTGTTGATTTATATTTTATTGTACAATTTTAACATGCATTTTAATATGTTTATACTACATAATTTTTAATTTTTAACTTGTATATTTGTGATAAGTTAAGTGGATTTAAGGTGTTGCCAAAATCTAATGTTGTATTATTAATGTTTCTGATGATGGCGTAAGCCGAAACGGTAAAATAAAAAAGACCAGAAAAAGTATTGTTTTTATTTAATTTATATTATAGAAAATACTGATCAACATGGATCAAACTCCCTCATCTAATCTTATATAATTGCCCTCATGTAATGGAAACACCACTCCAAAACCCAGACATAAATCCCATTGAAAATTTATGGAATTATTTAGACACCAAAATTCGGGAACTTTAAGTTTCTAGTAAATTTGAGTTGAAGAGCACCTTGTTGGAAGAATTGGAGAAAATTCCACCCACTTTTTGCTTATAATTACGGTTTCAAAATTTTTGGTTTTGTACTGTTTTCATTTATTTTTATATTTTTTTATAAGAGTGAATAAATTTTTGCATTTTGTGTATGTGTTTTGAATATGTAATTAATAAATTACTGAGAATCAATTTAATTTTTTTTCCTAGCAGTTTTAGTTTGAACATTTTTTAGTAAGAAAGTATTATTACTAGTTATTAGTAGTTGAAATATCTGTTGTGACAACTAAAATCAAACACATTGTACAGGGTGGGTAAATTTGGGTGTTATTATAGGCTATCTCAGAAACTATAAGAGATACGCAAAAAGTAGGTGCCATGGCTCGGTCTCTTTTTTCGAGATTAATCCAATCCTGCAAAGACCTCTATGTTCTTTTGTTTTTAAGTTATAGCCAAAAAGTCAAATTTTCGTAATTTCAAAAAATATATTTCGTTCATTTTTGAAATTAGAGAAATGAGGTTGGGTTGGGTTGGGCTAAAAATATGCTCTTTTCACTAACATTATAATCAACTACAGTTTGTATTTAAAAAAATACAACTTTATGCTATATTTTAAGAATTATACGCTGTGTTTAAAATTTTTTAATGACAGTATATTCTACTGAAAAAAGTGTCTTAAGAATGTATTAACCACTCTTCTTTAATTTCAAAAATAAACGAAATATGAGGAATTTTTGAAATCGCGAAAATTTGACTCTTTGGCTATAACTTAAAAACAAAAGAAGATAGAGGTTTGGTCTTTGCGGGATTGGATTAGTCTTGGAAAAAGAGACCAAGACATAGCACCTACTCTTTTCATATCTCTTATGGCCCCTCTTCACTATGGCTTATCATGGACCACTGCGAGCCATCGCCATTGTGTAGAGGGGTGATGAAGTGGCCATAAGTGGTGGATAATGGTGATGGTAAAGGAAGGATGGCTTTGGCATCATTTCTTAATCATTTCAGTCAACAGCGCCTGTTGCTTACAGTGGGCCATTTAGACTATACCACTGTGTGGAAGCAAACATGGCGACCATTCTAGTGGTCCAACAAGAGCCATATTATAGTTTCTGAGATAGCTTATAATAACACCCAAAATGTTATAATTTTGAATTTATTCATAATTTGAATAATATTGATACTTGATAAAATCACCCAGCACTAATTAAGACAATCTTACCAAATGAATATTAAACTGTTCCACAAACTTCTCCAATTGGCCCCCTTTTTCTTTAATCTTAGCGGCGATTACTGGAATAAGATCTAAAGTACCTTCTTTATACGGTTTGTACTGCCCCAATCCCTCCAAAAGTTTATTTTTCGATAACTTTAAAACATTCTCTGCTTCCACCACAGTCACCCCCTGTATATCACCAGCAAGTGTTAACCACACTTTCTTCCAACAACTAAAACAAGAAAAATAATTAAGAAAACGCCTCATTTTAAGCAGTAAATAACTTACATTGTGGTAGACATTGTTTAACAAACGGGGAAGCTTTAATTTTTAGGTTAGAAATTTAAAGTGTTCTTTTTAAAAATTGTACCGATAGATGGCGCTATTATGATTGATGATTATAATTTAATATTTATTTATTAATACATTAATTTAAAACTAAAAGAAGTCTGTTAAGTATTAAATATTAAATAAATATTTTTTTTTATCGTTTTAAAGTATTTTGATGAAAATTTTAATGTTGTGGGTGATTGTTGGGTGATTGTAGATTTTGTAGATGGCGCTGGTGGTTGTGAGGTTGATAAACGTTGGCGGTTCGAAGGAAATTTTTGGTCATAATTTAATAATTTAGCTGGTAAATATACTCAAATTTTACTTATTAATGATCATTAATGATAAATAAACAAGATTTGATAAGTTTCATCATTGATTTATATGATTTTTTAAGGTACTAAGTGCCAACGTCATCAAACATAACCCAGAAAGTACACGTATTCCCGGAGCATACCCAAAATGCTCATAAAATTCGAAACTAAGTCAGCCAGGGTGAAAGGATTATCGTTTCACCCTAAACGACCATGGGTTTTAGCGAGGTAAATTAATTTTTTTAATATTTAAGTTTATTTTATTAATAAAATCTCTGTATTAGTTTACACATCGGAGTGATTCAATTATGGGATTACCGAATGTGTACTTTACTTGAAAAATTTGATGAACACGACGGTCCGGTTCGAGGAATTTGCTTCCATAATCAACAACCCTTGTTTGTATCAGGGGGTGATGATTATAAAATAAAAGTATGGAACTACAAGCAAAAACGTTGCATTTTCACCCTTTTGGGCCACTTAGATTACATTCGTACAACAATGTTTCACCACGAATACCCATGGATTGTATCCGCATCCGACGACCAAACAATTCGCATTTGGAATTGGCAAAGTCGTGCTTGTATATGCGTTTTAACCGGCCATAACCACTATGTAATGTGTGCGATGTTCCACCCGACCGAGGATATGCTCGTTTCGGCTTCGTTGGACCAAACGGTTCGTGTTTGGGATATCTCGGGGTTGAGAAAGAAAAATGTCGCCCCTGGACCGGGTGGGTTAGAGGATCATTTAAAAAATCCGGGGGCTACTGATTTATTCGGACAAGCCGACGCGGTTGTAAAGCACGTCCTTGAAGGTCATGATCGAGGTGTTAATTGGGCTTCTTTCCACCCAACTTTGCCATTAATTGTTTCGGGTGCCGACGACAGGCAAATTAAATTATGGAGAATGAACGATTCGAAAGCTTGGGAATTAGATACATGTCGGGGACATTACAATAACGTCTCTTGCGTCTTATTTCATCCAAGACAAGATGTGTTATTATCCAACAGCGAAGATAAAAGCATCCGCGTGTGGGATATGTCAAAAAGAACGTGTTTATACACATCAAGGCGAGAACACGAACGTTTTTGGGTGTTAACAGCTCACCCAACTTTAAATTTATTCGCAGCCGGTCACGATGGCGGCATGGTTATCTTTAAATTAGAGCGCGAAAGACCGGCTTACACCGTATTCGGAAATATTTTATATTACGTTAAAGAACGCTGCTTGCGTAAGCTAGATTTTACAACATCCAAAGACCTCCCGGTTGTTCAAATAAGAACTCCCGCGAAAACCCCGGTTTATAGCATGTCGTTTAACCCCGCTGAAAACGCCGTTTTGCTTTGTACTCGTGCTACTTTAGTCGAGAACAGCACGTACGATTTATACTCAATTCCAAAAGATGCCGATTCGAACGTTGAAAGTCAAGTTCCGGAAGCCGAAGGGAAAAGATCGCCTGGAATTACTTCGTTATGGGTCGCCAGGAACCGATTCGCCGTTTTGGATCGAACTTATCAATTGGTTATTAAAAATTTAAAGAACGAAGTTACCAAAAAGGTTCAAACTCCTAATTGCGATGAGATATTTTATGCCGGAACCGGAATGTTACTTCTAAGGGATTCCGATTCCGTCATTTTATTCGATGTTCAACAAAAAAGAACTGTTGCGCAAGGTAAAAATTAATAAATTATTACTCCCTCCGTCCAGAAATAAGTGTCCCAATTACACATTAATTATTAACAGAATCGTTATCACTTTCGATTATTAATTCGTATAAAATCCACTTCTTGGAATATGAGTATGAAAATTTCCCAAAGTGTTAATAAAAGTGTCCTCTTTCCAATGAACCAACCCGTTTTGAAAAATAACTTTTAGTTTTTGAGAAAACAATATTTGAAATAATTTTCAAAATTCGCTATAAAATTAATTTCTTGAAGGATCCTTGTGGAAATATCACCAATTATTAATTAAAGTATCCTCTTTTTAATGCAAAAAGCCGTTTTGAAAAATCACTTTTAGTTCTTGAGAAATAAATTTTTGAAATGATCGACAATTTTTTCGAATTTTGCAATTTTCGCCGATTAAGTTTTAAAAATTCGTATAAAATCCATTTCTTGGAATATGAGTATGAAAATTTCCCAAAGTGTTAATAAAAGTGTCCTCTTTCCAATGAACCAACCCGTTTTGAAAAATAACTCTTAGTTTTTGAGAAAACAATATTTGAAATTTTGATAGTTTGCAATTTTCATCGATAATTTTCAAAATTCGCTATAAAATTAATTTCTTGAACAATCCTTGTGGAAATATCACCAATTATTAATTAAAGTATCCTCTTTTTAATGCAACAAGCCGTTTTGAAAAATCACTTTCAGTTTTTGGGAAATAAATTTTTGAAATGATCGACAATTTTTTCGAATTTTGCAATTTTCACCGATTAAGTTTTAAAAATTCGTATAAAATCCATTTCTTGGAATATGAGTATGAAAATTTCCCAACGTGTTAATAAAAGTGTCCTCTTTCCAATGAACCAACCCATTTTGAAAAATAACTTTTAGTTTTTGAGAAAACAATATTTGAAGTTTTGATAAAGTTTGCAATTTTCATCAATAATTTTCAAAATTCGCTATAAAATTAATTTCTTGAAGGATCCCTATTAAAGTATCCTCTTTTTAGAGTTGCTTCGTTAGTTAAATCAGCATCAGAAAAGTTTATTTTGTATCTTGGATCCAAATAAGTTGACATATCTTTCTTATTAATTTCATTTTTATTCAAATATCGCAATAATGTGGGCAATGTAGGGTGTCACTTCAGAAATGTACCAGAAATTATAACCTTTTACATCAAAATTTATAGAAACTTGAAGCCTACCAATTCTCTATAAATGGTCTTTATTCATATGCCGCACTTTGTAATTATTGCCTCCATCTACTTTCATGGTTGGAAGTATGAAAAACCTTATTCAAAGTATCCGAATTCCTCAATTCGGAAAAGGCTTTTTCAATAGCAAAAATTAATTCGTCTACAATTTTGCAAGCCGATTGTTGATGCGATGACTGCATTGCATTAAAAAAGCCTAAATCTAAGACGTTTGTATCGGGACTATTGGGTGGCTGACATAACATTTATATTGTGATCTCAGTTCTATTTTAAACTCATTGTCACCAGGAAAAATATGTTGCTAGATCCAAATTCTTTGGCGACGACCAGATCTTGGCTAATTTACTTGAATTTCGGGCAACAAGTTTCCAATAATCATATTCTTATACTCTTCTCTAGTCACCGCACACCACACTTAGGCACCATTCCCCTTCTGCATCCTCCCATCACACACTCTGGTCACATCAACCAGCCTAGGGATTTGCCAAAGATTGTCTATTGTCTGTAAAAATAATAAAACACTTTCCCCGCTTGTTGAAATCAACAATACAGCCAGCAGCAAGTTTAATAGCAGTCAATTCCGCCTGTAAGACGGTGGTACCTGTCCCTAAAGGTTCCAAGAGGCGAATCCGAGGATCGTGAGAAAAGACCCAGCCTCGTAGGTGAGGTACTTCTTTGAAAATACATATTTTGCTGGCATGCAGTCTGTCTTGCATTCGAGTAATGGTATGTCTAACACTGCTCTCCTCCAAAGTGTCGAACTGCTTCCGATTTTTACTGCTCTCTTTAGCAGGATCCAAAAACACAAAAGGCCAAGTGCCAAGTTTTCCATCCAAGTTCTTGTGCTCAGAATGATTCCAACGTGGACGAGCTACAGCGGCTAAGAACATTACTTTTGTCAGAAAACGCTTACTTTTGTTCCTGTGTGGTTTCTCTTCGCCTTCAACTAGGTACTACATGAATTCGGTCATACATATCGATGAATTTGGAAGCTTTAGCATTTAAAATTTCTGGTTTAAGCATTGACAGCCAATATTTCAGTCTTTCAATTTTATTGGCGGTTTTGTATTAAATTTGTTCGCTGTCATCTTAATTGAACCATGTTTCAGTTTCTTGTCCAAATGTTTTCCCTCTCTCCCATTATTTTCTTAAACAGGATTAAAAACTTATATTGTAGGAAAAATTACAATTAAAAAAAAAAGTCGATATCGCACACTTATTTTTGTACGGAGGGAATATTGAATAAAAAATAAAATTATTTCTTCGTTTACAGTAAAAGTAACAAGTTTACGCTACGTTGAGTGGTCATCTGATATGGGTTATGTAGCGCTTTTAGGTCGTCATAGTGTAACTATATGCAATAGAAAGTTAGATTTGCTTTGTTCACTTCACGAAAGTAGCAGGGTTAAATCTGGAGCTTGGGATGATTCCGGAGTGTTCATTTACACAACCAGTAATCATATAAAATACACTTTAATTAATGGGTAAGTTAAATAATAAAAAAATTAAATAAAATTAATTTTTTCTTTCAATAAATAGTGATCACGGAATTATCCGAACGTTAGATTTACCAATTTATATAACCCGGGTTAAAGGAAACAACGTATTTTGCTTAGACCGTGAATGCAAACCGCGCACATTCACAATTGACCCGACAGAATTCAAATTTAAGCTCGCTTTGATTCACCATAAATACGAAGATGTTTTGTATATGGTTAAAAATGCTCGTTTAGTCGGCCAGGCGATAATCTCATACTTGCAAAAGAAAGGGTACCCGGAAGTTGCTTTACATTTCGTAAAAGACGATAAAACGCGGTTTACGCTCGCTTTAGAATGCGGAAACATTGAGATTGCTTTAGATGCGGCAAAATCATTAAACGACAAGCAATGTTGGGATCAATTAGCGGAAGCCGCTTTGATGCATGGGAACCATCAAGTGGTTGAAATGTGTTATCAACGTACAAAAAGTTTCGATAAATTATCATTTTTGTATTTAATAACCGGCAATTTGGATAAATTGCGTAAAATGACGAAAATTGCTGAGATTCGCAAAGAAAAATCTGCACAATACCATGGAACTCTTTTATTGGGAGACGTTGAGGAACGAGTTCGCCTTCTCAAACAAACCAATTTAAACTCATTAGCTTATTTAACAGCCGCCACCCACGGTTTAATCGAAGAAGCCGAAGAATTAAAGAGCACTTTTGGTGATAAACCCGTTCCTGATGTTCAACCAAACGCGAAATTCTTAAAACCTCCACCCCCTATTCAACAAGCAGAAACAAATTGGCCTTTACTGACAGTAAATCGTGGCTTCTTCGAAAGCGCTTCCATGGCTAAAACCTCCAATTTGGCCAATCTTGATATTGACACTAACATTGAGGGAGGTGATATTGTCGAAGTTGAAGGCTGGGGTGATGACGAAGACGAACAAGAAGACGGAGATGTTATTACGAAGAAAATGGATGTGGGAGGTGGTGATGGAGATGGTGGTTGGGATGTTGATGACACCGATTTAGTCATTCCTGAAGTTGCAGCTCAACAAACCGCCGCTGGAAGTGGTTTTATTCATTTACCTACTAGCGGTACTTCTAGCCAAACGATTTGGGCTAAAGTTTCGCAATTACCAGCAGATCATATCTCAGCTGGCTCGTTTGAGTATGCTTGTAGGCTTCTAAATGATCAGGTAAGCTTCATTTTTATATCATTAATTTTTATAAAAGTAATTTCTTTTATTAGATTGGAGTGGTAAATTTTGTTCCATATCGCACGTTATTCTCAACATTATACATGTCATCAAAAACATATTTTACATGGCAACAAACGATTCCGCCTTTTAGTAATAACGTAAATCGTTTATCGAAAGATCCAAAGCGTCCACAACCTCAGCGTTTGATAACGATTAAACTAAAAGATTTAGTTCAACGCTTACAAGTTTGTTATCAATTAACCACTGGTGGTAAATTTTCCGAGGCGATTGAACGTTTCCAAGAGTTATTGCTTCAAGTGACGTTATTGGTTGTTGATAATAAACAAGAAACGGCGGAGGCGGAACAATTATTAAAAATTTGTAGCGAGTATATCCTTGGATTAAAAATGGAAACGTTGCGTAAAAGCACACCAAAAGGCACGATTGACGAACAAAAACGCCAATGTGAAATGGCGGCGTATTTTACACATTGTAATCTACAACCCGTGCATCAAATGTTGACGCTGCGAACTGCTTTGAACATGTTTTTCAAGATGAAAAATTACAAAACCGCCGCTAGTTTCGCTAAGAGATTATTGGAGTTAGGACCGCGACCGGAAGTCGCGCAACAAACGCGAAAATTGCTTTTAGCTTGTGATAATAATTTAACGGATGAGCTTAATTTGCAATACGATGAACATAATCCGTTTAATTTGTGTGGACTTTCTTATAAACCGATTTATAGGGGTAATGCTGAAGAGAAATGTCCGCTTTGTTCCACAAGTTACTTACCGGAGTATAAGGGAAGTTTGTGTAACGTTTGCGAAGTTTCTGAAATTGGTATGAAATGTTCCGGGTTAAGAATTAGTACTCTACAAAGTTTGTATCATTAGATTTAAGAAAATAAGTATTATTTAGTTGTTTATATATATTAACGAGTTTTTTTTGTTATAAATGTTTTTATTTTGAATAAAGTAATCGGTTCTATATTTATTAATATCTTTTATTATTTCAAATAATATCTCATTGTTACATTGCACACCAAAAAAGGCACCATTGACAAACAAAAACGCCAATGTGGAATGGCGGCATATTTTACACATAGTAATCTACAACCAGTGCATCAAATGTTGACGCTAACTGCTTTGAATATGTTTTTCAAGATGAAAAATTACAAAACCGCCGCTAGTTTCGCAAAGAGATTCTTTTGCGAAACGATCGTCTGTTTTCGCGAGGTAGGGGGGTGGCTTTATTTATCAGGGACATCCTTTGTGCTACGATTATCGAATCCTCCGATGGGTCAGTTCAGGGGGCTGAATTCATGCTTGTGGAACTGAAAAGTTCCTACAACAAGGCGTTTTTTATTGTCCTCCTCTTGTTAACTACTTTGATCAATTGGAGGAAACCTTTAAGAGGCACTCTTAATTATAACACTATTCTCCTGATGGGAGATTTCAATACTTGTCTCCTAAAAATGACTCATGCAGTGATAAACTTCGCTTCATTGCTTCCTCATTACATTTGTCCATCCTGCATCTTCCTACATCGCATTCGCTTTCTGGATCTTACTATTACGACTCGTCCGAGCAGCATACTTACGCATGGTCAGCTCCCTGGTCCTCAATTTTTCAATCAGGACCTAATTTACTGTACAGGGTGGGCAAATTTGGGTGTTATTATAGGCTATCTCAGAAACTATAAGAGATACGAAAAAAGTAGGTGCCATGTCCCGGTCTCTTTTTTCGAGACTAATTAAATCCCGCAAACATCAAACCTCTATCTTCTTTTGTTTTTAAGTTATAGCCAAAAAGTCAAATTTTCGTGATTTCAAAAAATGCTCATATTTCGTTTATTTTTCAAATTATAACAATGGGGTGGATACGTTCTTAAGACACTTTTTTAAGTGGAATATACTGCCGTTGAAAAGTTTTAAATATACTTGATGATTTTTGAGATACAACACAAAGTTGTGTTTTTTTAAATACAAACTATANTTTTCCGTGATGCAGTAATTAATTATATGCGCCACATAAGGTAGTATAATTGGACAACACATTTTTAACATTTCAACACTAATTCCGTCCACTCCACTAGCTGTTGACGATATAGAATTAATAATAGCTAAAAGTTCTGCCGTTTCAATTGTCTTAAAAGAGAATTCTGACGATACATGACTGTTATGAATTTCATCATTTACAGGAGTAAACGAATTTGCAATATCCCTAACACTATTTAAAAAGAAATTATTAATTTCTTCTGCATTTTGCAACTCATGCGGCAGCAAACCATCCTTACTTTTATTGATATTCAACCTTTTCAAGCTATTCCATAATAATTTTTTATTTTGTTGGCTACTGACATACAAAAAATTATTGCTGTGGTAGTATAACAGATTAACGTTTGAATACCATATAAAATTAATACAAAAGAAGTTAAATGGTATAATCATCTAAAACGTAATGGTCAATATTTCAACAATGAAACGAGATTTTCTATTTATTATGCCTATGCTCACTCTTACTTAAATTATCTTTGCGCTTTTTGGAGTCACGCTCGTAAAAAAGACCTTGACAAGCTACAAGTAATACAAAATAAAAATAAATCAAAAATAATAAGATAATAAGAACTAACCAAAATATTCACATCTTGCCCCTTGCAAGAAACATTGGGAGAAGAAGTGTTAAAGCAGCAGCGGCAGAGTGGTTTAATGATTTCCCACAACGGGTGAAGAATCAGAATGGTCTGGACTCCTTTGCGGAAAAAGCAAGGACTTATTACCTTAATCTTAGGTTAAACTGATTTCGAAATTTTTTTTTTTGTAATAGTATGTATGTATGTAACTTTTTCTTGTGTTGTTGTTATATTTTAGTGTTTATTACCTGTTATGGACTCTTATGTCTTTTTGGGAATGAACAATAAATTTAAAAAAAAATTTTCTAGAACGCGTTGCGAGTATTCCACGATTGCTCACAACACATTGTGGCTATTCAATGTTTACCCACAATCGATTGCTTTCAAACATAGAATGTAGCAGACGAAGACACCAATGAAAATTTATCACCAATTTTGGTAATGGAAGAACATGGCAGAGTATGTCCAGTCTGCAATGACGAATATAGTGAAGAAGCATCTTGCTTTGAGTGCGCTGAACTTTTTCATTTACGATGTGCTTCTAAACCTTTATGTCACCTTTGTGCTAATAAAAAAGTGATTATACTCTATTTCTTAATTCGGAGGAGTGTTTTTAAATTGAAGCAGCAAAAAGAAGTGTTGCTATTGGTCAACCCTGGGGAACCCTAGGGCTAAACCCGAATGATTCTAGGTCTTGTTTTAATTCCAGTGATAGTGTTAGTGTAAAACTAGAATAACTTTCATATCATATACATATATTTTAGTTTTGATACTAGAACTAACACTAGACCTCATCGAATCATTCGGCTTTAGAAGTCTTAAGAGACGTACAGCTAAATCAGAATATTTCTATAACTATAATCATTCGGGTTTAGCCGTACGTCTCAAAAGACGGCTAAAGCCGAATGATTCTAGTTTTAGATTTAGTGTTAGTTTTAGTTCAATAAAAATGTACAACAATCTAATGTTGAATAATAATTAAAACTAGAACTAACACTAGACCTAGAACTAGAATCATTCGGCTTTAGCCGTCTTAAGAGACGTACGGCTAAACCCGAATGTTTCTAGTTCTAGGTCTAGTGTTAGTTTTAATTCTAGCACCAAAACTAACTCTAGATCTAGAACTAGAAATATTCGGGTTTAGNTATAATTAAAAATTTGAATTTTAATCTTTAATATTTTAAAAATTGAAAAATAACGCTTATTTTCCGCAGAAACATCATGCGTGCGATACATCATTGGAAAGCTAAAAATATGCTCTTTTAAGTAACATCATAATAAAGTATAGTTTGTATTTAAAAAAATACAACTTTATGTTATATCTCAAAAATTATCAGCTATGTTAAAAATTTTTCAATGGCAGTATATTCTACTCAAAAAAGTGTCTTAAGAATGCATTAACCCCATTTCTCTAATGTCAAAAATAAACGAAATATGAGCATTTTTTGAAATCACTAAAATTTGACTTTTTGGCTATAACTTAAAAACAAAAGAAGATAGAGATTTGGTCTTTACGAGATTGGATTAGTCTCGGAAAAAGAGACCGGGACATGGCACCTAGTTTTTTTGTATCTCTTATAGTTTCTGAGATAGCCTATAATAACACCCAAATTTGCCCACCCTGTACAGTGCAGATGGGACAACATATTTCCTCGCAACGTATTATTTCCATTCATGACCTGGGTCGTATTGATAACGATTTGCTGTTATCTGATGCGCAAAAGATCGAATGGCCGATGTTGATGGAAAGGTTGACTACTTCAACTCTAAACTTATCAATCGATATTAAGCCAGTATAAACCAGGGTATCTGTACTGTATAGATTCTTTGTTTATGTTCCCGACCCATAGTACTGAGATTTACCACAAATCGTTTACTGTGCAGGCCATAACCCTTTGGAATAGTCTGCCTACTGAGATTCGCAATATTCATCATAAAAACCATCTAAAACGTCATTTATTTGCTCTCCAAGTATCTTTCTAAGAACTTCTTTTTATATATTAACGAGTTATAAATGTTTTTATTTTGAATAAAGTAATCAGTTCTATATTTATTAATATCTTTTATTATCATTTACATTTTTATTTAAAATAATATCTCATTGTTACATTGATATATACATTTTAATATATTATATTTTTCCCATCACAGCCTGTTAACATTCTTAATGAAGCACTTCTGGATAAATTTATTGCATTTTGTTTTTAAAATCTGGGTGTTCTTCCTTCGCGTACAATTGTTAGTGCTTGAAAAATGGCGGCTTTGTCAAGTTCGCTTTGAGTGGGTTTTTCATTGTCCAAACATATTTCTTTAGCGCGGGGTCCGAAACATTCAAAAACTTTTGCGCGATAATCAACGACTGTGGCCACGACGTTTCCAGTTAAACATAAATATTCCAAACAGGGTAAATTACCAACGTTGGCTATTTGATTAATGTCGGTTATTTGGTTACTACTTAAATTTAAATTTTCTAATGAGTAAAGTTTTTTGAATCCTTCTAGTGAAGATATGAGGTTTTGAGATAAATCCAAAACGACCACATTTCCTAACTTTGTGTGCAAATCTTCGCAACTTGAGATTGAATTATCGTTTATGTAAAGATGAGTGAGTTTTGTTAATGAGGAGACGTCCCCTAATTTTGTGATCTTGTTATGACCCAAATAAAGCTTCTTTAAATTTGGGACTAAACTTAAAACTGGGCCAATTTCTGTTAAATTATTAAACCTTAAATCCAAAGACTCCAGTTTAGTCCAAACTTGAGTATTGCACAATTGTGATTTATGTAATATATCACATTGGAGGATATCTGATATATTTGTTATGGAAGATTTCGCCACAGAAAGTTTTTCAACGGTATTTCGAAGAGTTCCAAGACTAGATACGTTGTTTAAAGGCATGTAATGAATTGATAATGATCTCAACCCCTAAAAATAAATTTTTTATTAAAAAAGTGGTACAAAAAGGTTTTTAACATACTTTAAATATTGATAGATCGATAGGTAACTTATTTGGCTCTATGTTGCTTAATAAAAACTTTTTTGGAATCCCATTAATAGACAAACTTGTTAATTGAGTGCAGTAGTCTAAGACATGACTAAATTCGTACCTTTTATCTGTTTCTACAACGTTTGGGAAAGGTTGTTTTAAACAAATACTAATCGAATATAACTGAAAAAAAATTTTTTTAATTAAAAAATAATCTAAAAGTGTTATACTTCACCTCTAATGGATTAAAAGTAGTAATTTCTTTGTTAACAATACTGTCGCCTTCAGTACAAAACCGGAAAGCCAATTTCTTTAATAAATAAAAGGTATCATACAGATTAAAATCTAAAAATTCGACGAATTCCCTAGGCATGGTGCGTTTTAAATAATTAAATATATTTTGTAAATAACATTCAAGAGCTTGTCGTCTAGTTTCGATAAAATTGGGGCACTTATTTCGAATGGTACGTTTCGGAGGTAGCAAATTCTTGGAAACACCGTGATCATTACACAGCATTTGGTGAAGGTCGTAAAATTCGCTGTAACGTCTCGAAACGGACCAAGTAACTTCATCCACACGGACGGATATTAAATAAAACGTTACGTTGTCCACATCTTTCACATTGGGTATTTGGAGCCCCGTTTCTCCAATGTGTCTCCAAAAACATGACATATTTTGTGTAAATTTTTATTTAATTGTTAACGAACCTTCATTTTCTTTCGACAAAAATACCTCCATATAACACCTTCCTGATATTTTGGTTATTTATTGCGTTTGATATCTTGTGTTATTATTATTATTAATTTTTTTTTAATATAATGGTTTGTACAGGTGGCGAAACTCTTTAATACGCATGCGTTTGAAGAATTTCAGTTTTTGGTTCATAGGTGGAGGTTAATATTTAATATTTATGTTACCCGTAACGGACCGAAATCGGACATTATTCAATTTCCCGATATTCTAAAGACAGGAAGAAGAACTCCAGTGCATAAAAAAAGGCTCAAAAACTCTTCCAGAAAACTTTAGACCAATATCTATGTTGTCGGTCTTTGCCAAAATATTTGAATCAGTTTTAAAAAGTAGACTATTGTCCCTTTTGAATACGACTGGTTTTCAAACTTGTAAGCAGCATGGTTTTATAGGCGGTAAGAGCACACAGACTGCTATTATATCATTGTTGGAATTTGTTTATAGAAATCTCAATGAGAGCAAAATTGATTTGGCTGTTTTCCTGGACTTGTGTAAGGCGTTTGATGTGGTTGACCATGCTATACTGCTTAGTAAGCTCGAAGCTTTGGGAATTCAGGGACCATCACTGACAGTTTTCAAAAATTATTTAAGAAATAGAAGCAGCAGGACTCATATAAAGAAAGTATGGAGTACCCCAGGGATCTGTCCTCAGTCCTCTGGTTTTTTTAATATATATAAATGATATAACGAATTGTTGAATGCATGATCTTGCCTTGTATGCGGATGATGCTGTTTTGTTCTACAGCGAGTCTATGAACTCTGTCTTTTCTGATGCTCAGTGTGATCTTGACAATGTTTGCTCTTGGATAGATAAAAATAATATTCAATTAAACAGCAATAAAGTCCTAAACTTATATTATCTGGTATTAGGTTGAGTGAAGTTACAAATAATACCTATTTGGGCATTGTCTTAGATAATAATAATAATAATAATAATAATAATAATATATCTTTATTGTGCCTTCCACGGAATACAAATAACATTCTGTTTCATAATATAAATTAAAGAAGGAACACAATGGGCGGGTTCCAGACAAAGTCTGCTCATACCAACCCAGTTGGTTGCAGAGAAAAAAATAAAAATTAACCAAAAAAAAAACATAAGAAAGAAAATAAAAGAAAAAAAAACATATGATATGAATTGAAGGGGTCGGGAGAAAAAAGTGCCAAGCATCATGTTTGTTGTTTTGAGATAAAGCAAGTTGAAAGTTTGGCTAAATCCATAAATAACATTTTAGTGCAGACAACAAACCAAAGTTTTTTAATACAAAGGTCATGTATCTATATACCGTTAAAAGTGAAGATGTAGGTAAAAAAAACGCTATTATAAGATAAAAATGGTTGTATAGAAAAATATGCACTGAATAATGTTGCTTGGCATTTTTTCCCCAAAAATAAAAGACATTAGGTTTGTTTGTACTTTTATTAAAACACACACTGTCATCGACAAAAAATACTCTTAACCAAAAAGGTACTTTTCAAATAGGTCTATATTACCACAACATCTTCCTTTTGGTCATCTACTTCAGCGGAAGACTGTAGGCCATTGTAATATCCATGGTAGATGGGAGGAATGTATTGCATCAAGGATTTGACATCATCTAATTTTTTCTTATTGATTTTGTTGGGCGCATTTCTTTTTAAATGTAGTGCTGGAATAGAACTCCTTCCACGTTTCTTTAGGTTCAACACTAAAAACTCTTCGTTCATCAAGTGTTTGAGTTTCATTTGAAAAGGTTCTTCGCTGTCAAATTTAAAGCAAATAGCTTTGGAAAATCGTGGAGGAGTAACACCATCTGTACAAAACTTGCTTTTTGTGTTAAAGTAGGTCTCTTGCACCCTAGACAAATCGAGGAAATCCTCACTCATCATGCATGTTACGATGAAGTTCAGTGTTTTGTTCCACACTTTGCTACTATCTCTCTCCATTGCCCAGGACTGTACACATTTTGGCAGTGCTTGGTATGATACTTTTCTAT